TTGTGTTGAGCAGAGAGAGACTCTTCTTCCTGCTGTGATCTGCTTGAATCGCTGGTTGTGAAATGTTTGCTTTTACTCATGCTCTCAGGCCATTGTTGGAGTGTTTCAAATGTATTTCTTGCTCCTTAAGGAACAAAGGTGGCAGCAACCTTCACAATTTGAAAACATTTGTCCTGGGTGTCACCTTGTGAACAAGCCCTGGGGTGATCTTCCCAAAACTTTTGTGTTAGCTTTTGATTTTTGCTTATCTCACTCTTGATGCTGATGAGTTGTTCTCAGGTTTTCTCTGTTTCCAAGCCTCTCTCAAAGGTGGGTGCCTCTGGCTTTTATTGCTCTCGTGTTTTCAAGTATTTGCTTGAGAATCCGCGCATACCAGACAACACCAACGTTTGTCTCTTCTGCTGCAAACTCTGGTGTGCTCTCCCTTTGTCATGAATTCATTTCCCTCTGCTTTGAGCCTTTGAGCGCTGGCAGTGTGCAGGTTCTCTGCAGATGCTCAGAGCTGTTAAGTCACGCAGGAAACTTTTCCCTAATTCTCTTTATTGTGACTTTTTTTAATGGATTCCTTTCCCAATAGCATCCTTGTCAAATGTAATTACTCTAAGGCATTTGGTCCTAGTGGACCTAGCGGCTGTTGATGGGTTTGGGTTTTGGTGGAGTTTTCGCTATATTTAACATGTCATTATTGCATGCTGAAGATGCCTGCCATTATCCTTGCTTATCCCACTGTTCCATAGTCCACCCAGGACATAGCCTTAGAGATTTAATATTAACTGCAGTGGTCCTAGCTTTCTTTATGTTATGTTTCACTTGGTGGTTCCTCCTCCCGAGGGCAGTTGAGCAGATGGCCGACTTGTTTATTTGCATGAAAACAGCACATTCCTCGCCTTGACAGTTTGCTCCTGTCACCTCTCAAAGACTTGGAAAGCAGCAGGGAAAAGGACCTCCATTTCACTCTGAAAAATAAACATGATTTCTTGGATGTCTTCACTTGGCATCCAGGCTTCTTACGTTTGGGGTTGGCAGCTCCTTCCTTAAACTGAGAGATGATGTAAATCTCCTGGCACTGTTCTGGGAGGGAGCTCGGTTCACAGCCGCCCGTGTTAGTCCTGCTGGGGGCCAGGTAAGTGGTGATGCTGGGGGAGACCCAGTGGAGGACCCTCTGCAGGGTGACACAGGCTGAAGCTGTCCCAGCTGGCTGAGACATCGGGCTGCGCTGCGGTGCCCTTCTGTCCCAGGGACCAGGCTGGGTCAGGATTCCACCCTGGTGCCTTAATCTGGCTATGATTTCAAATGTGTGAGTTTGGAAGTGGCAACTTGGCTTTTTAAAAGCAGTAAGATGTGCTACAGCTGACACATACGTGCTTCACAGAGATGTTACCTGTGCTAATTTACCCACTCAGCGTCCCTCGTCTCTCTAAAGTGGCAAGCCCGCTGTACTATACACAGAGAAAAGAGATTTGGGGGTGAGATGAATTCCCAGTGAAATTCTGCATCAGAATATATGGGAATATCCGGAGGGCAGATTTAATCATGACAGAACACTTGTTTGTGTGGGGAAAATCTGCTGCTCTGAATAGCCCTGCTGTTACTCTGCCAGCGCTTCCCTTCCCTCAGCTGCTCCCCTGGAATCGTGACTCCACGACGGAGCCTCCTCCTGTAGATGATCCTTGTGTATTAACACCAGAACGCAACCCCGTACCTAGGATAGACGTGTGTTGCACAGGAGGAGGTTCAGTGCCCTTCTTCTGTCAGAGGAAGATAAAGTCTCGTACTGCTCCGTTTTCTATGAATTCGTAGCAGCTTCCTGGAAAGTCAACCTACAAATAGGCAGCCTGGGCAAATACATCCGCGGAGATCTGCGGAGGGCACGGCGTGGCGGGTAGGCACGCTGCGAAGCGTTCGGCTGCTGCTCGGTGAAATAAATCATCAAACCAATGCGGTTGTCTGCTGTAGCTGGAAGGGGATGCTGTCTTCAGCTCCTCTTTCTGCTCGCTGTTGCCCACAGTTGCTTCCACCTAACACACATGTGTATGTGGCACTTCCACGTTGTGCAGACCGATAATTCAGCCTCCCTTTGTCTCCTGAGCACCAGGGCAGGTGCTGTCCTAGGAAACCCCTCGACCAGTGCTGCTGCTGTTCAGAGGGACGCTGAGCTGCATCTGTGTAGGTGCTGAAGCAGCTCAGGCTCCGGGACAACCCCATGCAGAGTAATGGTTTGGTTCTTGAAGGGTCTCGTCCTGCTCTGTGCTGGATGCCGGGCAGAGGGAGGTTGGGAAACAGCCGGAGCAGTTGTGATATGGTCGAGCTCTTGCTGATGGCAGGGCTGGGACAGCAAATGACTCACCTGCTCCAGCCTTGTTTCCACGGTGGTTTAAGACCTAAAATGGATGAAGTGAGGGTGGGGGAAGGCAGGGCAAGGAGGGGCACCTGCAGATAGGAACTCCCTGTCCCTGGGAGCAGGTGAGTCAGCTGGGCTTCAGCCTTTGCTTAGCGAGTTTATAGAGCAAGGGAAACGCTTGTGTGGTTACTCAGCACTCAACTGAGGGGTCTTGGGGGGAGTGTGTGGCCAGGCAGGGTGCTGGGTCTGAAGTGGAGCAGAGCCCGGGTGGGTGCAGGCGTCCCCCAGCCAGCCCAGATCTCATCCAAACTGCAGCTCGCTGGGTTTGTGCTGTGGCACCTGGGCCACAACCCCTTAATTCACAGCAAAACCAAATTGAGTTGTGGCTATGCTCATCTCATGCCTGGGGCCACCTCCTGTGGCTGCTCCAAACCTGCTCAGGGCGAGTTGATAAATGACTTTATAGGCAGGAAGGGATTTCCCCTGCCTGGTCCTCTCAGTTCCTCCTTGTTCCTGTATTTCTGGCTTTGCAGGTTTTCTGCAGCCAGCCCTGGTCCTTGCGCAGGCTCCTCACCCCGGCTATGGGGGGAGAAGTTGGGTTCTACTCATCTGCAAGGCAGGTAGGAAGGGATGGGGCTGAGATTTGGGTCTCTCTCAAAAGCAGGATGGACCAAACCTGCTGAGTTCTGGTTTGTGGTGATTCGGGCCAGGGTCAGAATAAGATGAGCGGTGGCATCTCTGACTCTGCAGGACCTTGGTGCAAGGGTGAAGAGAGGAGGGGAAGTCTGGGCTGTGGTGAGTCTGTCATGTCCTGGCCATCCTTGAGAAGAGAGGCTGTGGGGAGCCGCTCTGCTGGCTCTCAGCCCAAGCCCAAACCCCCAACACTGACACCCCAGGGCTGCAGGAGCTGTGTGTGAGGAGAGGGCAGTCGCGATTGCATTTCTGATGGCCGTGACTTCTTGGGTGGTTCAAGCTGGGGCCACCAAGCCGTGTGGCTTCTCTTGCAGGCTCACAGAAGATTCACATTGATGAGAAAACCATCAGCCCCCACCTCAGCCTGTCGGAAGACAAGAAAACCCTGACCTTCAGCCCCAAGAAAGCAAAGGTGGACACGGACTGCCCTGAGCGGTTTGACCACTGGCCCAATGCTTTGGCTACGGCAGCTTTCCACTCAGGAGTCTGCGCCTGGAAGATCAGTGTGGAGAAGAGCTGCGCCTACAAGCTGGGGGTTTGCTACAGCTCCCTGCCACGGAAGGGGGCTGGCAACGAAACCCGCCTGGGCTTCAACACCGCCTCCTGGGTCTTCTCGCGCTACGACAAGGAGTTCAGGTTCCTGCACGCCGGGCACCCGCAGGCGGTGGAGCTGATCAAGGCTCCGGCCGAGATCGGGGTGCTGGTTGACTTTGCAGGAGGGGAGGTGCTGTTTTACGACCCCGATTCCTGCGCCATCCTCTTCTCCCACAGGGAGACCTTCACGGAGCCCCTCTATCCCGTCTTTGCTGTGGCGCACCAGAGCATCTCGCTTCTGCAGTGAGCTGGGGGGGCTGAATATACCATTGTATGTATATACACTATACAGTGCCTTCATGGGGGAAAGGGAGCCCAAGCAGGGCTACCCACTCATGTACAGCGGTGTTCAGACAAGATCTGCCTTCAGTGTCTGTTCTTCGTGTCTTTTACAGCAGCTTTCCTCTCCTGGAGGCTGCACCTGCCCCGTTTCTGCCTTGCCGAGGTGAGGGTTGGGTTCATACCTGGTTCTGCTGGCTGCTTTGGGGTGAATCATTCAATTCCCCCTCCAAACAGCTTTCCAGTGCAATAGAGAATAGGAGAAATATTAAGAGATGTGGTTGGAGAAACGGCAGGGAAGAGGCACATGGAAATCATTGGGACACAGCTGGGGACACCC